TAGCAAGTAATGGTTAATAGCTTGATTATGACTAACATGTCCATTACTAGATACTTGAAGATGGTTGCAAAAGTCACGTCGCAAGTATATTTGAATTTTTTCAATCAATTTGATCTATTTATTCTAAAATAATCTTAAGTTACTGTATAATTTTTTTTTTAAAAAAAAAAACTATTTTACATGAAGTGCTATAGAATAAAAACCTAGAAGTGAATCTTTGAGTTTATTATGTAACAGATTTAGTCTTGTAAAACTAAGTCTGTTATAGTGATAAACTCAAATATTCACTTTCAAGTTTTCACTCTTCAGCACTCAGTACTCATATAGAATTTACTAATATCTGTTTTGAGATTTCAAGTTCATTTTTTATTACAAGATTTGACAATTCATAAAAACTTTTATATCCATAATGGTTATATAATATACATAATCTCCCAAATCCTCTTTAAAAGTAAATGGTCCTTGACATAATCGATTCAAGAATGTAGTGCAGCCAAGACCTTCTGGGTATTTGGCATGAAATCTTTCCCAAATTTTTTCTCGATTGTTAGTAAGATACATTAGCAGTAATTCTGTTTTACCATGTACTTTATACGAACTTATATTAATATTAGCCTTGATTAATATAAAAGATTCGTATTAGTCCTCTAGAAGTTCAGATATAATCTGTCATTTTATTTGTGGTTTTGGAATAGCAGGATCTCCATATCCATTAATGTGTGCATGATCTTTGGCTGTGTTGATTAAGTTTGAAGAAACCTTGTATTTTTATATAAACAAGTAAAATTATAATTAGTTACTATTAATGTTATAGTATTTGTATTATTCCTGATTACTAGTTTGCTAAAGATATTTACTAACAATTTTTCATAACAGATATTTTTTAACAAGTCTATTTGCACAACAGTTCACTAATCGGAATACTAAGAAATATATTAGATATCAGCTAATATCGTAGGGGAGGAGGGTGGTAAACAAAATTTCAGGTTTAAATATATGCATATAGCCAATTATAAAGGGGGTGGGCTTTATAATAAATTTATCTCAGCTAATATCTGACACGTCCCTAAAAAAGTTGTTAATAATATATATTTTTTAATCAACTTTTGGTACTCTGGTTAGTGAGCTATTGCACAAATAGATCTATATATAGTAGTTATTATATAATTCAAAGCATTTCAAATATTTTAAATAGTTTGAGTTATTATTACTAGAAATCTAAATTAATATCATGTAAGCAATTTTAATCTTAATAGTGACTGTCTTTGCTTACATATAGTCTAGATTGAAGTTCTTCATATAAAAAACTATCAGCAATAATTGATAAAATTCTTCTTTTTCTATTTGAACCTATTGGATTATTATTTAAACTTTGACTAAAACAGTCCCAAAAAGTTTCAATAGCATTGAACGTTGTAAATGGTATACTTCGTAAAAATCCTGTCTCATATAACATCGTGAATATTTGTTCAAATAATTTTGGATATTTGGATTTTGTTCAGAATTTATACTAAGAATATAAATACAGTAAATCAATAAACCTTTTATATATAAATACAAATAAATGAATTTGTCACCTTAGATTCATGAGTATTAAATGATATGATATTGGTACATCCTGCAGCTTTTAACATAGAATACCATGCTCTTAATTCTCTATCTGCAACTATATAGTTTTTTGGATATATATATGATAATTTTTGGTGTAATTTAACAACTTTATTATTACTTGCTG